ATCAAGTTGTATGTGTCTTTAGTGGACACCCATCATGCAGAGCAATATATAATATAAAAGATTTAAAGTTTATTTACAATACTTCTTTCTTGTAAGATAACCTTTAAAGGCTTTCTAACTCCTTGCAGCGATTGCGCTGTTTCAATCTCAATAACCTTTTCCCTTTCCTTTGTATTCCATCCCATCTTTTCATCCACTGATTTCCTGAACGGAAAGAGTTTTTTGATTCGTTCTGCTAAAAATGTAAATGAGCCTCCGATTCTTCCATTATTCACATACAGTCTATTTTTGCGATATAAGTCTCCAAATTGGCTGAAGGTAGAATTTTCTTAATGGATTGTACCGCCCATTTTATTTGCGACTATCACAACTTATTACTCAGAACAACTCGTACTTGCTATTTTCTTAGAACAATTTGCGTTTCAATTCAATCACCTAACCTGCTTGTCATATATCCGTATTTTTTAGAAATTGGTAAGATAGCACTTATCGCCTAAATGGGTTCATGCGAGTCCGTAGAATCAAAAGCTTCTCGTGAGGCTGCAATTATTTCGAAGAAAATTGACAAAGATTTGGAGCGAAAAAGCAATGGTAACATGGAACAGAAGTTGTTGTTACTTGGTCCAGGCGAAAGTGGGAAAAGCACCTGTCTAAAACAACTGAAGTATGACATTATATGTTATGATTATGTAAATACTTTACAAAACATTCATTTTTCAGGATAATGCATGCTAATGGATACTCAGAACAGGAGATACAGGAGAAAAAATTTGTTGTTTATATGAATATTGTACAGTCAATGGCAGCACTACTAGATGCTATGGAAACGCTCGGTGTTCCGTTTGACAACAACTCTATGGAGGTCTGCCATGTTTCAAATTTTCGATCAAATATCGAGAAAAGCAAAAGAAATTAGCAATGTGCAATTTATTCGTCCGCAGTTGACATGTGAAGCAGCGATTGCACACACTTGTGCTTTGCGCTTTTTATGCAGATTGATTGATTGCTACGTGCGCAGAAGCGGCACGTGCGCAAAAATCGCTTCTGCGGATCAGCCAATGTGAAAAACTTGAAGTAAGAGCCATTTGATATGGTAGAGTGCTTAAGTGGCACCACAATCCCTAAATTCATGATACTGTCATTTGCACATTTATTAGCCTATCAATATAGAACAATATAGCTATCGAGTATAACTTCCTTTAATAAATTAGCGCTGCTACCATTACCAATTTGAATTTCATTATCTATCCGCACGATTGAGGCACTGCGCCAGGTGGTGGCTATGGCTACGGTGTGTAATGCGATGATCTTCTTGGACTTTTTCATCCGAGGGTTTCCCTCTCACATTGAGATAGAAAAAAAGATTATGGAAGTAGTATTTTTTCGCAGATTAATGAAGATAGAATTATTGGACTGTAGAAATTGCGGAAAATGTAGCAGTTCAGATTT